TGCGATGCACTACCGACCAACGACTTGCTGAGCGTCAATACCAAAGATGCACCTTCTTGCGGATGTTCACATAGAATCATGCTAGCCGTTTTGCACCATGCTGCTGCGTCGGCGTCAGCAGCTTCGGGGTTGAACGTTGGTAGCACTGCCGAGACAGGGCGCGTGCTAGGCGCCGGCGTGGATTGTGCTGCTTTCAAAAGTTCCGTAATCACCCTATTTTGCGATTCCAGAATCGTGCGCCAGCTGTTCTCCGAATTGTCTTGTAGGGGTGGTGATCCCACTTCTGATGTAGGAGATAGGGGGTCTGGTTCGTCTGCCATTATGGAATTATATTTTCTTCAGCGCAGCGAGTCACAATGGTTTCTCTGCACGAGCGTCTGTTCCGTTTCGCAGGCTTTCTTGAACTGCCTTCCTCTCGCTCATTATTCTCTACCTCTCATTGCGCCACGCTCAGCAGGGATTTCGCTCTCCTTCCCCACCGCGCTCTCATTCAAATGCTTCTCTCTTCCTTATTTCTTTATAACTTCGTTTATTCAATACACTCAGAGACTTATAAATAATATTTCTTCATTGCATTTCAAATTAATCTCCGACAAATACAAAAAACATACTCCTCTCATTATAAGCGCGAGAGAGTCGAAGAGAGCAGACGTCAACAAGACGCTCCGTCATCTAATCTAATAATCAATAAAACCTATAAGTCTATTCGAGTGATACTGTTTTTGTGAAATCGAGGTTGCAAACAGTCTTCAGATCCAAGCCAAAAACGATGTCGCAGGCGATCTACGAATACATGGTATTCCATTTGTAAATAATGAGAATCTTCGAACCCTTTTGAACACGCTTTGTTTTTCACTTGCAATCACACTATCGCTAAGGACAAAATATATATTTAGAGTTCAAAGCTAAATTCAAAATGCTGTTGTGGACCCTGTTGTCCTTGTAAGGATGGAAGATATTCTCGACAAGGCGACATTTCTGCGAGGGATCGGTGCATATTTTCGTAGTAAATCTCTAGAAATTCAAGGTGTGGTATGTAGGCTACGCTTTATTTTATGTGGAGCGCTTAAGTTTAAGTATGCCATATTAGTTTTCAGATGGGCGATGAACTCAACTCAGAATTATCATAGACTACCAGCCATGCAATGATTAACATCCTTAGTAATCGGCATAAGGGGCTTAAGGTATGTCACATCAATGCCCAAAGGTTAACTAAGAAAATTGATGAATTTAGAAATATGTTTGTTCAATCTAATGTGGATGTCATTTGTGTTTCAGAAACATGGTTTGTCCCGGGTATGTCTGATCTGTGGATCCGGATATAATTTTATTAGATCTGATCATGATGGTCATGAATGGGTGGTTGCAGTTTATATTCATAAAAGACTGAACACAACGTTTATTTGTAACCTACAGGATAGCAGCGCTATTGAGTACATATTCTCTCAATTTAAAAATGCTAAAATTGCATCAAAAATCTTAATTGGCTGTCTGTACAGACCAAATAGGACTGTTCCCTACTCTGATGAAATTGATCTGTTGGCAAATTTTAATCTGCAATACTCTAATATAATTCTAGCAGGGGATTTAAACAGTAACATGACAGCACTAGGACTACAATTAGCTAAATCATGACACGCTACTCATTTCTCGAGTACCACTACATACAAGAAGTTGAAGCGATATGAAAAATTCAGGAAGTTACGTACGAAAGTTCATACGTCAATACCTAACGCTAAAAAATAGGAATAGGGAGGAAACTCATCACCATTGATGTTTACAGCCTCAATAATATCTTCGTTAATGTCCAAGTACCTGAATCACTCTCTAACTCGTACCTGAATATGACTACCTTGGCCAACTGTGATAATAGGTTTAGCTTTATATGTGTTTCTCAATGTGATGTCCCTAACGCAATTTTAAAAAGGAAATCTAACGCTCCAGGCTTGTACGATATCAATTCAAAATTTATAAAAATTCTACTGTCTCAGATATTACCACTAATAACACATATAATTAAATCTGCAATAACATTTTCAACCTTCCCTGAACTATGGAAAATTACGCAATTAATTCAAACACTTGAGAGAATTAATAAATATAGGCCTATAGCTATTCTTTCATATCTCTATAAAGCCTTTGAGCAAGTCCCAGATATAACAATTTAACCAGCAAAACAATTTAATGTACAATCTACAATCCGGTTTTCGCCCCTTCAGAAGCTGCACAACAGCTATTATAAAGATTTCAGAGGATATCAAGAAAAAACTCGATAACAGCCAGGCTACACTATTAACACTTCTCGATTTTAGCAATGCGTTCGATACTGTTAACCACACAATTCTCTGCAGTACATTGACGAACTTATTTAATTTTTCCGACACCTCTATTAAGCTTATATCGCCCTACCTAAGTAATCGTCATCAATGTGTAGTGTCAGCGTCTAATTCGTCTTCGTTTTTACGGACTACGCGGGGTGTAACGCAGGGATCTGTTCTGGGGCCAATCTTGTTTTCAATGTTTATAAATGAGTGTCCCATTGTAAAGTCCACATGTATGCTGACGATGTGCTATTAAACGTTAGGTTTCTTTGTCGTATTAATGACTGTGTCGGTGCTTGCAACTCTGACCTTCAAAGCATTATTCAGTGGGCAAGTGCTAATGGTCTAGCCTTGAACCCCAAAAAGCCTAAATGCATGATGATTTATAAGAAGAAAATTTAAACAGAGAATTTACAACCTCTTCGAACTGAACACACGACACTTCCCTATGTCGACAAGGCAACTAGCCTGGGCCTCACATTCAACAATACCCTAATCTGGAACGACCACATAAACAGAGCAGTAGGGAAAACGTACGGACTTTTAAGACAACTTAATGTTAGCCAGCAGTATCTTCCTCCTGAATTAACACTCTTAGTCGTAAAGACCTATCTGACTCCATCTCTACTGCATGGCATAGAAGTTGGTAGTTGTGATGCTACTAGCTTTAAAAAAATTAACGTAGCATTTAATAACATCGCACAATATGTATTTAAGCTGAGACCCCGTGACCATGTTTTTGAATACGCAAATAAAATTTATAATTTGGATTTTAAAAATGTAATAAAGCGCAGAACACTGACAATGCTCCACAAAATTATCCACACTATGGAACCGTCGTACCTGTTTTCTGAGTTGAGCTTTAATGCACTAATAATCTAGTTGTAAACCGGACCAAGCTGTCCAGTTCAGCACTTTTTTGTAAATTCTGCTCGTCTCAATAAAAAGCACCCAAACATACAAATTTAGCCTAACCGCACACTTTACCAAAAACTCTATCTAACTTAACTCAATTTTAACGCAAATTTAAATCTATGTTAATTTTAAATTAAAAGACATTGTAATTAAGACTAAGAATATTGTAACTCCGTATCACAAGGTGACTGGCACATTAAGCTAAGAGTTTAATTACTCTCAGTGCTAGGATGTAAAATAAATAAACAATTAAAAATTAATTAATCAATAATTATCTTTTTAACACGTTATAAAAAAAATTGTGGAAGGGCATGAAATGCGGAAGTGATCTCATTAAATTTACCAATATTTGTTTTATAGATTTGTGATTTTATTTTACTTTGAGCTAGTCGAAATAACCTTTTACAAAAGGTTTTAGAAACTTAAAGCTATGGCTTAGAATGAACTTGGAATCGCGCACCAGTTCCGATGATCTCTATACTCGTTTATTTAACACCAGTAAACTGAATTCATTATTTACCCAAACCAAATTGCGAACCGCGCCTTGGTTGGAAAATGAAGATAAAATTATTTAGAACGCGCTTACCTTTTTGACGACTTTACTTTGAGCTAGTCGAAATAACCTTTTACAAAAGGTTTTAGAAACTTAAAGGTATGGCTATAGAATGAACTTGGAATCGCGCACCAGTTCCGATGATCTCTATACTCGTTTATTTAACACCAGTAAACTGAATTCATTATTTACCCAAACCAAATTGCGAACCGCGTTTTGGTTGGAAAATGAAGATAAAATTATTTAGAACGCGCTTACCTTTTTGACGATTTTACTTTGAGCTAGTCGAAATAACCTTTTACAAAAGGTTTTAGAAACTTAAAGGTATGGCTATAGAATGAACTTGGAATCGCGCACCAGTTCCGATGATCTCTATACTCGTTTATTTAACACCAGTAAACTGAATTCATTATTTACCCAAACCAAATTGCGAACCGCGCCTTGGTTGGAAAATGAAGATAAAATTATTTAGAACGCGCTTACCTTTTTGACGATTTTACTTTGAGCTAGTCGAAATAACCTTTTACAAAAGGTTTTAGAAACTTAAAGGTATGGCTATAGAATGAACTTGGAATCGCGCACCAGTTCCGATGATCTCTATACTCGTTTATTTAACACCAGTAAACTGAATTCATTATTTATCCAAACCAAATTGCGAACCGCGCCTTGGTTGGGAACTGAAGATAAAAGAATTTAGAACGCAATTACCCTTTTGGCGATAGCAGTGATGAAGACCTTCCCACGGTGATGATAGTCGAGGATTACTGTTGAGTAAATAATGTTTCGTAAAAAAGCATCCTAGCTTAGTTCGACGATGATGTTAAGTGGTAAACCTAGGGTTACAGGATTTTTGTTAATGAACGATTTCAGGTTATGATGCTCGACTTTTATATCAGTTCGTCATGCCTTTGCCGTACTTTCTCATACCACGTTGTCTTTGTAGCTGCGTTCTTCTGCTGCTTCTTCTGCTTCCGGGATACTTTACCTCAGTTGCACGTCTAGATTGCTCAGGTTGATTTAGGTTATTTCGCTGCCGCAAATCTTCATGTTCCGCATCTATATACGATATAGGTCTCTTAAAATTTCCTTCCCTGTTATATCAGTGGTTGGTTTCAAAAGTACAATGAGCATGCTGAAATTTGCAGAACTTACGAATGGGGTCTCCTCTCTGTTGAAGCCATACTTTGTTTTATCAAAATTGAATCGCAGAATTCTTGTATACTTTTAGATGTATTGTTTCGTAAAATAAATAAATTATAAACAAGTAGATCTTTACATTCTTAAACTAAATTACTCTGGTGGCTTTAAAATTGTATATTCTAGTGTTAATCTTAATTAATGAACATAAATACATTGTTAAATATGTGTGATATCATAATGAAGCTTTGTCTGTACGTCGACATAAACATAACTAAATGATAATTAGACCTTTATTGTTTCATTTGACTGCTTTTTAGCTAGCTGATCTAATCTTTTAGGTCGTGGAGGGGGTATTGGTGGGCTTTCAAATTTAACATCGCTAAGAGTTTGAGCGGTTTTAAATGCATCACATGCAAGCATGGATTTTCGAATTGAAATCCAAGACATAAGTTTTTTTTTTAGATTACTAATTCTTTTTTTTGAACAAAATGGTTTGTTAGTATTGAAAATGTAAAAAACCCCAACACAACATATAAACAATAAAAATATCGCTACTAGCGCCCATAAAGAAGGATAAATAAATTTGTTTCTGTGATTTTTTTTTGAGTTCTGCTCCGTTTTGGTTGATGTTCTATTATGTGTTGCAGATGTTGGGTACAAAGGACGACTAGGGCCATTAAGAGTTAGAGCATCTGTAGTTAACGCAATATCCGAGCATGAACGAAACTCTTCTTGTGGGCCACATCCAATGGCTCCATTACCATCGCTACACATGCCCCAATTATTGCCGGCAACATAACGCCATTGCAGAACGCATTGATCACACGTAAAATCTACAACAATACAAAGGTGACATATTTAAAAATATGGATCATTAATTTACAAGCCGAACTCTTTAAAAGATTATATTTTTTTAACATTTTAGCTTGTTTAATTTGGTTTTTGTTTCTTATCGTACTCAGGATTTGACACCAAATTAAGATCTTTGGTAACAAAAATTAGTTTCAAGTCAAATTTAAGGCATTATAGAAGAAGTTTAGTTTGCAAAATATTAAAAAATTATATAATTTAAAAACAAAATTACCAGGTAGTCGTGCATGTATTTCATATATGCGACTTCCGTTTCGCGGATAAAAACGAATATCAAGGTCCGTTGGAAGTGGTTGGGAGGGAGAGCCATCTAGTATTAGCAATACATTTTGATCAAAGCAAGACTGTTTAGCGATTTGATTTGGACACAACCGAAACTCAAAATATCTGTAAAGATAAATGTCTTTTAACATGGAGCAGCGCTGTACATAATTTTGTCTTACCCCATATGACTTGCAGTTAGTTCTACACGTATAGTCATTTTGGATCCTGGAACATAACTCCGCACGATTACACCTAGTCCCCATTGCCCACCATATTCATGGGGGCGTGGCTCCGGCACATCCCAAGCGTCTCCGCATTCTCCACATTTACCATTGTTTTTTGACCACTGTCGGGCAAACCCGCCACAATATAGTTCATGATCATTGTAGTCTGGTGGTGTTTGAAATCCAAAGCGCCAAGCTGACGCTCTACTGGGTGGCTCAATCAGTCTCCCATGACCAGTGCAGGTCATAAAAGAAAACGAGGTTGCAAAATAAAAGCCAATGCACCAATTTGTCATAAAATTCATTCTGTTTTTGACCTTAAAATGCATCAGAACAATATCTAATTAATTTTCAAAGAAATGTTAATTGATGAAAAAAGGCCAATAAGATTGAGGGCGGTGACTTGATGATCACATTTTTTTTTGTTTTTTTAATGAAATTTTCAAGGTTACAACAAGCTCCTAGAAACAATCTAACTATTCCAGAATATTATATTCATTTTTCAGATTGACAAATTAGTCAGTTCTGTTATTAATAATTTGTTTTGTTTTTTAATCGAAAAAATATCTCGCAAAATAATCCTTTTGGATGTTCCCCAAACAACTGAACTTCTGAATTGCTAAAATTCGGACACTTGCTCCGTACAATTTTAACTGGCTGAAATTTCAATTGACAAAACAGCTGAAACAGCTGTGTTACGTCGGTGTATTAGTGATCAGTCCAAAAAACTTGGGCCAAGGTTTTTAATATGCTTTTCTAGAAAATTTTTTGGTAGATTGCTAAACCTTTAATTGACAAATTTGTAATTTCTTAGCATGCAACATTCAAAGCCCCAACTTCTGCAACAGGCAAAAAAAATCAGAACTTTTACGTTTCAGAACTGTTAGAGACTTGACTATTGATTTAATACACCTTTTTAACTTTACGTCCTTCTGTTGAGATCAATTCAATATCCTTTTCTATACGTGCAAGACCGATTTTTCATTTATAGGGAAATTTATTTTAAGGGTTCCTCTGGCCCTCCGCTTGAACCAGGCCAGAGCCAGGTCGCTCGAGAGGTTCGATGAGGTTGCGGAAAGCGGGTTACGTAACAACTGACGGTGTCAGGATGTTCCTGTTACTTTCCGTCCGTGCTCTCATGACAAGAAGAACAAGGGGCAAACTAACCCGTAAATCCAAAGCTATCCGTTTAAGCCAGGTAAAAACCAGGTCGCTCTTCAACTACAAGGGTGGGATGACTGAATTCATCTCTCTGGCTGACCCTTTGAAATAGCAAGAAACAGATCCCTCGAAGGTTCAAGTTTAGAGAGAGACGAATCAAGTAGTCAATTTCTTTCGTCTGTCTGCAGGCTAACCTATTTGTTATTTGTCAGCCAAACATTTCAACTGTCCCCCATCTAACTTTTCGGCCCTCTATGCAAGGAATACTTACACTCGAAGGAAATGTTCAAGAAAAAGTATTAAAAAAAGGCACTGAACAAAGAATACAAGTAAGTAAAATTCACATGTATCACCCGGGTTCCCTACAAACACCACGGTGACTTGAAAGCACCTTAATGTCTATGTATGTGTGTCTGTTAAATGTGTTTTACTAGCTTTGTTTTGCTTAATAATTCGATGTCAATAACTGATTGAGTTCATGTGCGCTGCATCGAAAGTTCAGAATTAAAAAAATCGCAAGAACATATTAATAATAACATAGAACGCGTGTTATACACCATAGCTCCTAAACGTAAGCATTACATATGTGGAAGATATTTTTCATGAGAAAAAACTCTTCTGGAAGTCTAGGTTTATTGCAGTACTTGCGGAAAACTTCAAATTTCCAATTTGTCCCGTGACATATGCTGGCTCTCCTTACGAAAGCCAGTGCAGGCAAAAAGGTGTCTAGTCTAGACAAAATGTTGGTAACGGAGAAGTTCGCCAAATGGGCCATTTAGAACCGCGCCCCTTTCCCGCAGTAATGGGTTCTGGATTTCGAAGCCTCGTAACATTGGAGAATATGGAGAAAATGTTGATGTGTACGACCTGACTCGACAACAATGAGCCGGAATGCGCAAAAGGAAAAAAAGACAAGCGTGCGCTGATCTCAAAAGGAAAGCGGAGAAGTCTCTGCGACTCTCGATATGTGGACTTATAATTATGTTAACCGAAATTGGGCGTAACGTTACACTACTTAAAAGACTACAAAATGCAGGACATCATATTAGGATTGAAATCGATGGATTATTAAAGGTCGCCTGCAGCGAACTTACGGTGATAATTAAAACGGTTTCGCCCAGTTTGATGTGAAGAATGTTGTTGAAGTGAAATTCGAGACTGATGGGGAAGCAAATGTTAAAAAAAAGCTAGTTGACAACTGGACAACTGTTCATAAAGTACTGACTAAATTAGGTAAAAGTCTAAATCTCTTGTGATTATACATCTGCTTTATATATCTGAAGACTTTAAAAGAATTTTTATGGAGTTACAAACTTTTGCCTCTCCGTCGATGTGCTATATGTTGCTCTCTATAGTAAAAATTGTATTCAGTTTGCAAAGAAAGAGTTCTAAATAATTTTAGCACTGTAAGGAAAACAAAAAAAAAATTTGGCACAAGGTAGCGTTTTTTCTTTATTCACCTGTGGCAATTTTGCAACATAAGGATATTGCAAAAAATAAAAAGTGTATTGACAAATTGTATGCTTGATGTCTTATTCAAGCGAAGGCCAATTTCCGTCAAGTACAGTAATCTAAAATTGTGAATTGACAACTAACTCAAGCCTTCAGGGGGTAGTCAGGTTTAGAATTTTCAAAAAATCGATTTCTTTTTTTTTCATTTTCAGTCACTATATGCCCTTAGAAATAAGTTAGAAAGAAGAAGGGGTATTGTATGGAGCAGTCATTGCTGATTAGAGGTACGATGATTTTCTTTCGACTAAGGCATGTGTTTCCCGTACTCAAACTTTAAACGCGTTTATCTCGAAACGCGTTTTTTTTTGGTGGTCGCCACGATTCCAGCCGATCTACTGGGCCGATTTCATTCAAAATTTTTTTTAAATGTTCAGAAAAGACCTGGCTATTGCATGATCCTCGGCCTTTATTGTAAATTGATATTTAATAACAATATAAAGCAGTTAATGTTGAAAAAATGTGGAAAAAAAACGAAAAATCACGAAAACTATCACCATTTGTTTATTGATCAATATTTTTTCAAAATTGAGTGTCATGCGATAGCCATTTATGTGCTCTTTACGAATAACCTTGATTTTCGTGTTTCAGATGACTTGTAGATGAGAAATCATGGCGACCGTTTTTCAACACGGCGTCATTAGATCGCCCATAACTTGGCCAGATATTAATGAAAATTGAAAATTTTTTTTATTTTGTAGGTAATAACATGCCTTACGATATACTATAAAAAAGTTGTGAATGTCAAATATCAATAAATAACAAAAAAATGTTGTTGAAAAAAAGGCATTTTAAACCTGACTACCCCCTTCAAGAATTTTTGCCCAAACCAAAATTTTTCTTTTCTCTAATATTTGCCCCTGCAAACAACAACTTGAAATCGCCATTTGTAAAAATTAAACAAAATAGACTAAGGCAAACAATTTTAGGGCAAACTTCAACTTTAGAACCACCACCAAAATTGCCGCTCATATCTCTACTCCACCTCCATCACATCACTTTGGCTAAAACCGAAGGCAGTACCAACTATGTGTGCTATTGCTTTTGCTCTTCCTTTTCAACCCATTGACAGATACAAACGCTCGCAAAACTCTGAGCTCACACTGAAAATAAACAAAAAAGGGAACGGAAGCTTAGTTCGGTATGCTGAAGATTTAATACTTTTGCGGTCAAGGGATAGATCGAAAACAACCAAATTTATGAAACTTTTCCAGATCATTTCCTTGGCAACTGTAGAAATCAGTGCACACATAATAAGAAAGAACGCTATTGTTGAACTCCCCGACTATTAGATACCCGTTACTCAGCAAACAAATTTCAATCTAAATATTCCCCCACAAAACAACACAAGAGTCAAAGAGCGTGCAGACTGACTCGGCTATCGATCCTGGTTAAGAATACATATAGGATCGGAAGCGCTTCGTTCGATTCGATTTAAAAATTATAAATAATCTATCATAAATTCTGTCATAAAATCTTTAGATCATTAAGACAGATATATGGCAGCCATAGGGAATAGGCAACTGATTTTGATTAAATCTCAAGGGATAGGTCCCAAATACTATAACAACATCAACTAGGGCAAATACCAGCGACTTATAATCAAATTTTAACTTTGACCTGGTTGTTTCCGATCTGTACCGTTATCAAACTTAATTAACTATTAGCTTTGTTATTCCAAGGTCGCACTTGTGCCAGAAATATAATTTTTTGGCAAAAAATATGTAATTTTTTCCTTGTACAGTTAGGAAGACGAAATGCGGTAGTTTATCTTCTTAAAAGATTGAACTTTTTAAAATATAAAGTTATATTAAGTTCATTTAAACCTCCATATTTTGGATTTAGAAAAAAAGTAGTAAATCGATTCAATTCATTTTAACGCATATTTAAGTAGAAGACACAAGAAATAAATATTTTTTTTCTATCACTAAAGAATATTAAGTGGTTTAGATTTATCAACTTTTGGTCCCGAGCTGCCAATATTAATAATATAGAACAAATTCAAATCGATGAAAGCCTCCAGACAACAAACCTTGATTTTTCGGTGCATATGGACTCCCTAATTCAAAAATTGACACTCAAGATTTTTTTGCATGGTACCATAATTTTATTTTTAATTTTTAGTGTAGATAACGTTTTTCACCTGATTTCATGTCAATTTTATTTTATTTTTTTAATTTATTTTATTTATTATTTTATCGTGAATATTTCAACTTCACGATAAAGTGATAAAATTATTTTCGGGTTTCAATTTATGTTGTCAAAACTTCAGTTTTTGCATTTTATTCAAACTTTTTCGAGCTCTAACATCTATAAAAGGAAACCTATCGTTAAAAATTGAAGAATTATCTAATTCTAGTTAAATAAGCTATCGAAGACCGAAATCGGTTAAAAAGAACTGGAAATAAGAAATAAAATTGGCATGAAAACAGGTGAACAACGTTATTCACACTTTAAAAAATGGTACCATACAAAAAATCTTGAGTGACATTTTTTGAATCAGGGAGTCCATCTGTAAACTGTAAACTGTAACTATAAATCTTAAACATTATACCCTTGCAGGGGGTATCATAATTTCAGTCAGAAGTTTGCAACGCAGTGAAGGAGACGTTTCCGTCCCTATAAAGTATATATATTCTTTATCAGC